ATCATCCTAGATGCACGATCGCTTAAGCAATTTATGGTCTCGTTTAAGCGATTCTTCATTTTTAGCCTTGGTTGCTTAAGCTATTTTGGATTGCTTAAGCGATTAAGTCCAAGGCAGAATCAAAATCATCCCAGATGCACGATAAATTAAACAATTTAGCATCTCGCTTAAACGATCCTATATAGAAAACCTTTGATCGCTTAAGTGATATATATAGTCGCTTAAGCGATCATGGACAACACTTATTTTTTCCAGCTTTTCCCCTGAACTTTGACAAACTAAAATCACCAACACATATTAATTCCATATTTTCTCCTAAATTTGACAACCTAATTGCATTAACACATTAATGTCATTTAACAAGAATACTAAATAAACTAAAACTCAAAAGAGGGAAAAAAATACTGAATTGCTTTTATACAAATCTGAAATGTGTCAATTACATTAAATTACACCATTATATATAACAAATAAATGTCCTATATACACCCAAAATAAAAGCAGTGCCAGTAGCCTCCATCCTCTACAATTATCCAGCACACCTTCAACATCAGTAGCAGCCTCTTCATCTTCTTCTACAACACCCCTTCCAACATTATCTAGCATTGGCCTTGGCCACAAAGCATACATAACACCACAACCTAAGTATAACCAACTTGACGCCTAATAACACCAGCTGATCTAATTCATGACAATCCAATTATTCAAGACAACCCAATAAGAAATGCATTTCATATAAACTACAAAACTCTAAGTCTAACTTCCATATCTGATCTTATCTGCAGATCTTACGATAGGTTGCTTGCTTTCTTGCGTTTGATCGATTCGAACCTAATTTTCTGGATCTACATGTGATCAATTCTGGTAAATGCTTCTCTTGTGGCCATGTTTCTTGCAAATTGAGCACTCATTCATCCTCTGGGGAATCTCACAGGCTGATGGAATATGCTTAACTCTTTTTCTCCCCTTTTATGTCTTCTTGAATGATGGATGGATGATAATGTCAACCAACTCTGGTGGCACCATCCACTGCTCTTCTAAAGGAACTAGATATATCGTTTCCGAATAAGCTAGCATGTAGTGGTTTGCCATACAGAGAGGAAAGCAAAGTTACATGTAAATTCTTGAACCAAAATCTGGCTTCTGTTGGTGTTTTAGTGCTGCTAGTGCATGAGGACAAGGTAAATGTTGAATGTCAAACACTTTACAGCTGCAAGTTTTACTAAGAAGGTTAACTAGGGCATTTGGACCATAGCCGCACACGGTAAACTCTTGAGCATTAAGAGGATAGGCAAATAGTGAATTTGATAGTTCCATACAGTCTCGCAATAATTTTTCAGCTGACGGAATAAGGGTTGTGGTAAAATTATCTGACTCCATACGACGCTCATAGAACCACCATGACAATGTCCTCTAGATTGCATCAAAAAGAGCAACAATTGGAAACTCTTATTCTATTAACAATTTCGAATTTATGGACTCGGCTATGTTCGTGGTCATGACATCGAACTTTCTTCCAGGAAAGTAAGCTCTACTCTATCGCTTGAAACCAATATCATTCTCAAGATACTTAGCAATTCTATCATCCTTGATTCGAATTTGCCAAAAGTGCTCCTCAAACTCATTAACTCAATAAGCTTTTGCTGCCATGTAGAATGTCTAAAGGAGGCCAACGCACTTAAACATTTGTTTTATGTTCTCGCCAAGGTGCCTCATACAGAATCCATAATGTGCTTGAGGGTAAATAGTGGCAATCTCCTTCTTTATAAAGTTATGCCTATTGGATATTATGCATAACTCGTCACTGTCAGGCACTATCGTAAGTAATTGCTAGAAAAACCAAGTCTAAGACTTGTCGTTCTCAGAGTCAACCACACATCATACAACGGGATATGTGTGATTCTCACTGTCCTGTGCAGTGGCTACCAACAATGTAACTCCATACTTTCCTGTCAAAAAGCAACCATCAACAGCCAACACATTTCTCATGTTCACAAAACCCCTTATAGCAGCACCGTAAGCAACAAAAAAATATTTAAACCTCATATTCTCGTCCCACTTCAAAGCCGTCTTGCTACCTTGGTTTGTCAACTCAAGCATATAACGGTACGCTTCTAATACTACGTACCTGTGCTCTAGCATGCCCCTCACAAAATCTTGTGCATGTTGTCTCCCTTTCAAGCATTTCCAATAACTAACATCGCATCCCAACTCTATGTGCACAAGTCTCTGAATGTCCTTAGGAGATTGACCTTTCTCTTCAACAAACTGACTTTTGACAAATTGTCCAATAACATCAGCGGAGGGTTGTCGATGCTCACTTGAAATATGTCCCAACCCATGTGTCCTCATGGGTATATGTGCTAACAATAAAATTTTCAAACTCCACTAACCTTCTACAACAAATCCATCACTTGAACTTTCGGTCACGACATGCAACCATCACTACCGATGAATCAGACTTTTTGGTGATAAAGCCAAAATTACCTCTCACGGCAACAAGTTTTAGCTTCCTCACCACTTCCTCCTTGCTGTCAAATAAATAACCTACATGCAAGTTCGACCATCAGTAAACTCGTGAGTTGATTCACTACTACCCGCAATTGTCACCTCTGAACTTGTATAAATAATCGTTTTGTTCTCTTCCTCACAAACTACATTTTTTGCATAATCTGTATTTATAGGAATCTCTACATCTGCGGGAACATGTACGGGTCCTCCTTGTCCACATTTTCATTCTACCCCACACGACCAACCTCTTCTATAGTGTCCTCCTCACCACCCAAATCACCGCCTACTCTTGATTTTTGAACAAAGAAATCAATGCCCTCGTAGTTAAAATTAAAACTAGCATTCCCCCCACCCAAATTACCGCTTACTCTTAAACCAACTTCCAAAGCTTTATCCACAACCGAAACTTTTAAAATTGGCCTCGAACCATTATCGCCCACATTAAGCATAAATAACTTCACATCTTCATCAAACATTAATACAACATGAGGTACCTTAAAATTTGTAGGAGCTCTGCTTAAAAAATACTTCACAACTATATCACTATGTGAGCAACTCAACCCACCTCTTCTAATGATTTCATCAATCAACTCATCAAAATTAGCTTCTGTACTCACAACAATTGCTTTAACTTGTTTGCTCTTTCCAATCCATTTCTAGCAACTTTCTTCCTCCACCCACTCACCAAAATATTCAACACTCAAAACCACTTGTCCCATGTCTAATAATAGCCAAGTACCTATTATGCAAGAAAATAAAAATTATTAATCGATATATTAAGGGTTGACAGATTTTAAAAAGCATCTACAAAGTCGCTTAAGCGATGTGGTGTAAAAGAAAATGTCCCCATTCAATACACCAAACATTCAAAAGTCACCACCAATAACACTCTATTAACACCTATTTTAGCTACTCATGGAAAGGACCAATAACATTCAAAAGTCACCACCAATAACACTCTATTAACACCTATTTTAGCTACTCAATTCATTGTGTTCTTGTTTTGGAAAGGACCAATAAAGAGTCTTTATGAAAGAGATGTTATAACTACTTCAAACTTTAAAATGCATCTTTGTTTATTTTTATCTATATAAATATAATCACACTCATCAAATATTTCAAATTTTATTGAACCCATATTCTAATTCTTCACAAAACATAACTCTACACCCTTGAATATATCCATCCTCCATATATTTTGCATCATTAACCACTAATTATAAATTGTAAATATCATTTAAATTAATTTTTAGGGTAAAAATACATTTATAATTTACGGTTATCAACAATTTTCAATTTTCAATTATTTTATTCTATTTGTCTTTTGATATTATCAATTTCATGTTCAATTTTTTCATCTTATTGTTCAATTTAATAGTAGTGTAACTTATTATTTATCAAGTTTACAAATTTGGAACTTGTAATGTACACATATCATAATTATATGGTGAACATTAATTTGTGATATAAAATTCAAACTTAATTGTATAATTTTTTTTTTATGGGTATAAAGTTTTGTTTATTCATATTATTAATGTTATTATTTAGATAAACAAATCTAGAAAATATATATATATACACGCATTCAAAGACAATCTTAGTTATAAAAAACCATGATCAATATTTTTATGATATTTAAAAGTTAGAAACGACTTTTCTCACCCAAGGTTTGGCTTAATGACACTTTCCCACAATAAAAGTTTCAAAATACCACTTTCCCAGCCAAAGTTTATATTCCGCTACTACTCAAAGCTGATTTTGGTTGCGAAAATTCTCTCTGTCACCACCATTTGAACCTACAGTCTCCTCTCTACAAAACCCTTCTCATTTCGACATTTGATTTTCATTGATTATCGACTAACGCAAAGTAAGAGTTTCTTGTTCTTAGTTGATTTCCAGCTAATTTCTGTAGCGAATATTCAATCAGTCATCACCGTTCGATCCACCAATCTCCACTTTACAAAACTCCTCTTATTCTGGCTCTTGGTAACTCGTTGAATGTCGGCTAAGAAAGTGAAATATATTTTGGATATTAACGGTATATAAACTTTGGGTGGACAAATAGTTTTTTGAAACTTTTTGGGTGAGAAAGTGTCATTAAAGCAAACCTTGGGTGGGAAAAAGTTGTTTACTCTTAAAAGTTAATTTCAAAACTAAAAAATTTTATAATAATAATTCTATATACAATTTAGATGGTTAAAAAATTTAAATAAAGTGTCTCATAACCTATTAAATTACTCACAAAATTAATATATGAATTAAAAAGAAAAAAAAAAAGAAAAAGAAAAAAAGCATAATTATATCAACTTAAATCCCATTGAAAAAGAATAGTTGTAATTGACTTGAATAGACAACTGTCTTCAAAAGTTGAGAACATAATTTCCACTCTGTTAAAAGTATTATTAATTCTTTAATTAATTTATTAATTTCATTACTAACCAAACCCACCAATTGCCTTTAGCCTTTAGCCTTTGCCTTGCTCTTTCTCTCTCTCTCTCTTCTTTCTGTCGGAGCTCTGGCTTTTTCGCCGGAATTCCATACTCTCTCCATTTCTCTCATTAAAATGGTCCATCTCTAGGGTTTACTTTCCCAAACCCAGTAATTGAATTGCAATTTTCGTTTTGACGAACACTTGAAGTGCCAGCGATGTCTCGCCAGATGACATCCACGGCTTTTCACAAATCCAAGACTCTTGACAACAAATATGTAAGCCCATTTCCCTCTAATTTAAGTTATTTCTTCTGTTAAAATCTTTTCGAAAAGTGAAGTTTCTTAGGGTTTGTGATTCTCTCTTCCTTTCTCCCTCTTTTTTTTTTTTTCGTGAACGAAATTGGAGGTCGGATTTAGAAAGTAAGAAAAAAATATTTATGACTGTTCACTGAATTATGTAGTTTCAGTTCTGTTTTTGTATGGGCTTGTCATTTCAGTTTCTTCTACTTTTCCGACATTTTCTGTGATTCAGTTGTTTTCTGGTTATATATTTTCAGTGCGCTTCTTTGATTTCAAATGAATTCTTAAACAGTAGGTTCTTCAAAAAATTTAAAGAATTTAAGTTAGAATTCAGTTGTACTGGACTTGAATGAGAGGAGGCTTATATATATATATATATATTTTTTTTTTTTTTGCTTTTCCAAATAGTGAATAACTAAAGTTTTACGAAACCAAAATGGAGTGCTATTTGACTATGAGACTTCCATTTTTCTTTTTTTCTTTTTAATTTGTTTTTGGTCTAGATGCTTGGAGATGAAATTGGAAAAGGTGCTTATGGTCGTGTGTACAAAGGCTTGGATTTGGAGAATGGTGACTTCGTTGCAATTAAACAAGTTTCTTTGGAGAATATAGCTCAAGAGGATCTTAATATAATCATGGTTTGGTTCCTTATTTCTTTGTATTTAGTTCAATTCCTTCAAACCTTTTTTTCATCATCATCTTCTTTATTGTTTTTCAAATTGATGCTTTTTGAAGACAGTGATATGTAGAATCATTATTCTTTAGTTATTATCTTAAATTTTATATTAGCAAAAAACTTTGTAATGAATTATTTAAGGAGGCAACCTGGTAATGCTACTAATCTACGTACAGAATGTTTAGTGTGTTTCAGTTTTAGGTTCATTCAGTTTAAAGGCATAGTCATCCTGTCAAGAAATAACTGCTTCTTTTAATGTTTACAAATGTCGTAGACATACATTGATAAGAACCCAGAAAAACTAGCCACAATTCCTCACAGTTAATCAGCCGAAAGAATCACAACAAGATGAATGAGATACGTCTGTACTATATTGAACTGAACTGACAAAGGATTGACACTCTATTCATGAAAAAGTATGAAAAATATGCAATAGGAAATGTAAAAGATAGCACTAGCATTTTGAGGAGCTAGGAACCTCCAAGACCAATTCCCACTAAAACCATCCTCTCCCTTTTACAGACTCTGTCCACTACTTATATTCAACTGACCCTACTCTATTCTTTAACTGGTGTGCAACGTGGCTTTTCCCCTAACAAACTTCCTTTCACTCATATAGCCTACCCCCCCCTCCCCTCTTCTTCTCTTCTTGTAAATTTTGTGTGATGGATGGTGACCTATCAGACATTAGTGTCATTTTATTTTTGCTGGTTTCTCTCTGCGTATAATACTAACATTCAAATTTTACCTCTCGGATATGGAACCAGTGGAATGCAAATTAGCTGTTTAAATGCGTCAGGCATTGCTAGAATAGCTATGATTATGGAAAACTTTAGCTGGTTGAAAACCTAGTTCAAAGTGTAAAAAGTTTACATTGCAATGTCTATCCTGTAATTGAGTTGGGTGTTTGCTTATATATATTCTTTTAGTTGCTTATTTGTTTAATATAAGCAGTATAACTTATATGCTAATAATGATACAGAGTAAGAAATATCATTGCACTTTAAGGGTTTTTTTTTTAGTGTGTGTGTGTGTTTCTGTTTGCAGATGAATTTGTTTCTTGGATATGTGGTGGAAGGTTTGAGTAAAAACTTACAAGCTTACTATCAAGGCCACTTGAAACTAAAGAGTTCTTTCATGCGATTATCATGTCCCATCCCGAGGACCTGCTTAAGAAATTCAAATTTCACTCAATTATTGACTGTTAGAATTGGGTTCTAATATTTCGTGAGTGCATTCGTGTTTTGAGAAAATATGGAAATATTATTATTGTGTGTCTTAAAAGAATTATCTTATCTTCATATCAGTTCTCATTCAGTTCCCAAAGAGTCATAATTTCTGGCATAACTTTTACTTCATTTTTTTTGTTGGTAATTTTTTTTGAATTAATAGGAACATTTCTGTATTATATTTTTTTTCTGGTCTCCACTGTGTAAGTTGGCTGATGTGTTGCTTTTTCCTGTTTATGCTGTTTCTTTGCGGAATTCATTGACATACAGCAAGAGATTGATTTATTGAAGGTAGCTTTATCTCTATACTTATCCACTGGAATTTGTTTTTTCAATTTTTTTCTTGCTATAGTTTGACATATTTTTGCCAGTATTTAGTATTAAGTCTTAAAGGATGTTTTCAATGGGATATGCTGAACTTCTGGTTTCTTATAAAAAATGAAAAGGGGCGAAATCATAGTTTCTTATAAAATAAAAAAAGGGATGTCATGAAATTCTGGGAATTTTTTGTTCATGATATTCAAATATCTTCCTTCTCTTACAGAATCTGAACCACAAAAATATTGTGAAATATCTTGGGTCATTGAAGACAAAGACTCATCTTCACATAATTCTTGAGTAAGTGACTTTTTTGTTGAAAAAAATCTTAAGCGTAGCATTATGAGAACCTGTCTAGAAAAGCTTATGTGGTAGTTTTCATTTGTTGCAGGTATGTGGAGAATGGCTCTCTTGCAAATATTATTAAGCCAAATAAATTTGGGCCTTTTCCAGAATCTTTGGTGGCTGTTTACATTGCCCAGGTTAGCTCTAGTGCAATTTATTTCTATTGATTGGGGTTAAAGTTTCATCAGTCTGGTAATATTAATTATGACACAGGTCTTGGAAGGCTTGGTTTATCTTCATGAACAAGGTGTTATTCATAGAGATATCAAGGGTGCTAACATATTGACAACCAAAGAGGTGACTTATGTCTTGCTTTCTTCCTGTCTTTTTCCTTGATGTATTTTTTTTAAGAGCATTTTGTTTACCAACAAATTGTGCTGAATCTCCATAACTTACTGTTTGATATAGTAATCTATGCTGTAGGTCTTTCCATTTCCTATTGCTAATCACTACTCCTAGCACCAGAAGTTTGCTATCTTTATCTTTTCCAGTATGGTGGCTTTGATAGGACTGACTGTGGTTGCATAAATTTTTAGTATCTTTATTTGTTTATTTTTGTTTGAAAAAACTCCATGATTTGTAGCACTTTTCTAATATCAGATGTGATATTGATTTGTGGTAATATGATTACCTGATATTTGATCTGCTTTATTAATGATGCATAACGTTGATTGTTTGCTAGGATATATTCTTGGTTAGACTAATACAAAGGCAATGGAAGTCTTTTTTCATCAATTTATTTTACCTGCACCATTTTATTTGGCCTTGAAGTCTATAAAGTTTAAAATCTTACGTAAGTTAAATGTTCAGTATCTTGTACCTAATATATCTTTGCTGCTTCTGCAGTTTTATTGAAGTCTTATGGTCTTAATGTTGTTATCTGTTCATTAATGCTTCAGCATGTTTGAGATTGGCTTAGGAAATACTTGACCTGGTTTTTACTTTTAGGGTCTTGTGAAGCTTGCTGATTTTGGTGTTGCCACAAAGCTAACTGAGGCTGATGTTAACACGCATTCAGTTGTTGGAACACCATACTGGATGGCTCCTGAGGTATTTTTTTGAGTCTTTTTATCTCAGCATATTCGCTAGGTTTAATCCTAACTGATGGTTTCATTTTTTTTTTTTTTTTTTTAATTTCTTTTTTATGCTGAGAATATACTAATGAAAATGTTAAGGAGTTACAAGTACGAAGTGGACCAGTTATCCACAAGAAGCTCAAAAACCATTCAATTTTGGCAAAATATATACAGAAACTGATGAGTTGTTTCTACATCAAGGAAAATAAGATTTACTAGCACAGATTCCAGATAAATCCAATTTTTAGGCTCTTCTGTGTTCCTAAACATTCCATGAAATGCTTGCAGTATTGTCACTCTTAATGCATAATTTTTTTGTTGAAAAGATTGATGGTCTATGCCAATATTTGTTTTTGCAAGTTCTATAAATCTGCTACTGTTTAATCATGTTACATAGAAAAGCGACAAAGCCTGGATAGGCTGCAGTTTGGAAAGAAAATAGATAGAATTCAGCTTGTTAATCTTTTTAGTCGAAGAGAAATTAAAATTAGGCACAAAAGGGCTTGAAGTTGGCTTTGATAGAGATTATTGAAGCAGTTAATATGAAGGATGAGTCAACTTTTGAGTTGGGCCTAATAAGAGGCTTATTTGTCAATAACTGAACTGAAAGCAATTGACCAACAAAGAAGAAAAATGTGTTCTGTTTATAATTTCTTTTAGGATTTTTGAATTACATGGAAAAAGGTAGATTTTGTTTTTCGGTGGTGTATATATATATATATATGTAGTCAGGACATCTTGATGTAAATTTGGTCAGGACCATATATATATATATATATATAGACTTGGCAAAAAGGTACTCGTACCCGTGGGTCAACAGGTACTTGCATCAACTGGTACCTCTAAAATTTACTCGTATAAAAGTTATCCGTACCTGGCCCGCCCGTAAAAAATGCGGGTGGGTCGGGTAATGCCTGCGGGTACTTGCATTTTATTTAAAAAAATCATTAAAAAATTAAAACCCTAATTCAATTAACCAAACACCCAAACCCAATTCCATTTTCACCATCTCTCTCACAGTCACAGACTAACGCCATTTCTCTCAATCTCTCATAATTTCACACCATCTCTCTTAGACTCTCACATAGCCATCTCTCTCACGCTCATTTGGCCATTTCTCCAATCGCCATTTCTCTTTCACGCAGCCATCTCTCAAGTCGCCATTTCTTCTTCAGGCAGCCATCTCTCTCACGCTTCTAGGATCCTCTTTAAAGCGCCGTTCATCTGGGCTCTCAGGTAGACCTCCATTTTCTGTTTCTCTCAAACAACCCAGTGACTTTGTTAGCTGCCTTTATTGTTATTGTTAGGTTTCGTCTCTTTATTGATTCGTTTTTATCAGAAGCAACAGAAGACTTCAGTGCACATGTAAGATTAAAGGTTTGGAATTTGTATTTTTCACTGGAACCAAAAACATGACTTGGCGGTGAAATATAAATGCTTCAAGATTGTACTGAAGTATCCATGATCTCGAAAACTTAAGTTAAGGTTCAATAACAATATTTGAGTTGTAATAACTTTGTGGAACTTTGAAAGCAGATTCAACGCTTGCATTACTCAATGCAACACGAAAGGAAGAACATAACTTGGAGTAAGGAGATAGAAAAGCTTGAACAAGCAAGGAAGAAAGCTATTGCAAATAAGGAGATAACAAAGACTTTAACACTCGGTGTGAGTATTTGATTTGTAGTTGTTGAAAATTTTAATTGGGAAGAGGAAAGAGAAGATGGAAATTTATTGGGAAGAGGAAAGAGAAGATGGAGGGTCTTGTGCAGAAAGGGTGATGGAGATGCGTAGACCTGGCAAACTGACGGGTCGGGTAGTTGCGGGTAATGGGTACGAGTAATTTTTTTAACGGGTAGGAAAATGCATGGCTCGTACCTGCCCGTACGAGTACGGGTCGACCCGCGGGTCACCCGTTTCCCACATATTTTCACATTTTATTTTATCTTTTTTCAAATTAAAGTAACCCATCTCCATCACCCTCTCTGCACGAGACCTTCCATATTCTCTTTTCTCATCCCATTAAATTTCCATCTCCTCTTTCCTCTTCCCAATAAATTTCCATCTTCTCTTTCCTCTTCTCAATTATCATTTCATCTTCTCTTTCCTCTTTCCAATTAAAATTTCCAACTTTTCTTCTTCCCAATTAAAATTTCCAGCAACTACAACATTAACTACTCACATCGAGTGTTAAAGCCTTTGCTATCTCCTTATTTGCAATATCTTCTTCCTTGCTTATTCGAGCTTTTCTATCTCCTTATTCCAAGTTATGTTCTGGAAAACGAGCCGGGCACGGGCAACTTTTATACGGGTAAATTTTAGAGGTACACGTTCTTGCCCATTTGATGCCGGTGCTCGTTGACCCGCGAGTACGGGGTACCTTTTTGCCAGGTCTAGAGATGGTTACTTTTATTTGAAAAAAGATAAAATAAAATGTGAAAATATATGTGGGAAATGGGTGACCCATGGGTAGACCTGTACCCGTACGGGCGGGTACGGGTCATGTATTTTCCTACCCATGAAAAAAAAATGACTCGTGGACCTGTACCTGTTTTACCCGTTACTCACAGTATATATATACTTGGCTAAGGTATAAGGTTCAAGTCATGAGGGAGGTGTTTGCAAGGTGGAGAGACCACGGAGCAGAACAAAGCTGTGGGGGTCCAAAAGAGGCGTGGCCAGAAGGATCCATAGCGGACAATACCTTGGACATGTTCGGCGCGTGGGGAAAGCCCTTGAGCCGAAGGTGGCAAGATATAATTTTGGGGACGAAATTATTGTAAGGGGGGAGGAAATGTAATACCTAAGATGTCAAAGGTATGTTCCAAACTCAAAATAGTCATTTGGAATGGTATGAATTAGGGGTGAACGGTTTCGGGTACCTTGCATGTTTTGGGGGAATCGAAACTGGAACCGCCGGTGCAGGTTCCAAAAAAAAAGGAACCAGAATCGGAACGTATCGGTTCTGATTCTTAAATTCAGGGAACTGGAACTTGAAATGTAGGTTTCGGTTCCTTACTTGGGTACCTTTTAAAAAATCAATTACGCCCCTATTAGTTTAAAAATGACAAAAATACCTTAAAAGCTTACAAATACACCCCTAACAAATTAAGAAAACCTTTATTTAGTAGTTTTTAACTTTTGATTACTCATTCATTTGTGTCTAATGTGACTCATAAATCCTCTAATCTCTAGACAACACTTGAATTCAATAAATTCATTACAATTCATATAAAATTTCTTAATCAAAACCAAAACACAAACAGGTTCCAAATAGGTTCCAAGCCGGGTACTCGCTTCAGGTTCTTTTCCTAAGTTTTGGTTCCGGTTTCAAAACCTGTAGGAACTAGAATCAAAACTGCACAATGTCGGTTCCAATAGAATGGAATCGGAACCTATCCGCACAGTGTAGATTCCGGTTCTGATTCTACCCGCAGGTTTCGGTTCTACTTGTTACCCATGCTTAGGGTTGAGCAGTTTCGGTTACCTTTCATTTTTCAGGAAAATTGGAAGCGGAATTGCACAGTGCAACTTCCCAAAATAAGAACCTGGAATTAGAACCTGTCGGTTCTGGTTCTTAAATATAAGGAATTGGAACCTGCATTAAAAAATAAGAAAAATACCTTAAAAGTTTACAAATGCATCCCTAACAAATTAAGAAAACCTACATTTAGTAGTTTTCAACTTTTGATTACTCATTCATTTGTGTTCAATGTGACTCATAAATCCTCTAATCTTTAGACAATACTTGAATTCAATCAATTCATCACAATTCACATAAAATTTTTCAATTAAAATCAAAACACAAGCAATTATTGAAATAAGAAAAAGAAGAATGAGAGAACAACTAGTGTAAACAAAGCAGCAACAGATTTAACACTATCCCAAAATGGTCAACTCCAAACCGGGTACCCGCTTCTGATTCCTTTCCTAGGTTTTGGTTTTGGTTCCTGATCCTCTACATCGGAATCGGAACTGCACAATATCGGTTCCAATAAAATGGAATCGGAACCTACACGTACAGTGCGGTTCCGGTTCCGGTTCCAGTTCCGGTTCTACCCGCTACCCGTGCCCACCCTAGTATGAATCAATTATCCATAAAAGAGTATTAAGGGCAAAATAGTCATTTTGCCTATGGATAAGCATTGCAAAAGTTAAGGATGAGTAGGCTTAATTGCATTTAAAGGTATTAAGTAATAATTATGTTTAGAACCAAATGACCAAAATACCTTTATACGAAGAATTAAGGACTTATGAGTTATAAAATTAAAATAATTGGGCCAGTAGCATAATTTTGAAAAATTAATGAAATATTTTCCTATAAATGATAGGAAAATTCGTTCAAGCCAATAGGAGACATAATTTCTTTAATCTTTCTTCCATTTTCTCTTAAATCCTTCATGAAACAAGCTTTCTCTTTCTAAGTTTTATAAGAGTTTTACATAATTTTTTTAAAGAGAATAAGATAGGAGCCTTGGATCTTCAAATTGAAGGGTTTAAAGTAAGGATTGAAAACGCTAGTTTTGATGTGATTTGAAGATTCGAGGTAGATGTTAAGGTATAATGTTATATATGTAGGATTAAGATGTAAAAGAAAATAGAGTAACACTACAATCACTAACACTTCTTACTAACTTTCTCTCACTAATGCCACGTGTCAACTCACAATTCATCAGTTCACATGGGTCCCGCCTGTCCAATAATGGATCCTGCCTCACTAAGCCAATCACAAACACCCACATGGGGTTAGTGAGAGGGGTTAGTGAGGGTAGTATTATTGAAGAAAATAAAGACAAAGGATTTGGTAGGGGAATTTAAAAAAAAAAAAGTAAGAAAGAACCTCCCATGACTTTAGAGATTATGCTAGGGTTTGTAGATTTTAATGGAACCTTAAATTAAGGCTTTAAGACATAGAATTTGTTGATGGCAAGTGTAGTTGAACTCATTAATTTTATTTATTGCCTTGAATTCATT